CCATTTATGGTAAAAACACTCAGCCAAGTGGGAATAGAGGGAGCATTCCTCAACATAATAAAGGCCATATGTGAGAGACCTACAGCCAACATCATACTCAATGGACAAATACTTAGAGCTTTCCCACTAAGATCAGAAACAAGACAAGGATGCCCACTTTCACCACTCTTATTCAACATAGTACTGGAAGTCCTAACCACAGCAATCAGACAAGAAAAGGAAATAAAAAGCATCCAAATTGGAAAGGAATAAACAAAACTGACATTGTTTGCAGATGACATGATAGTGTACATAGAAAACCCTATAGACTCCACCAAAAAACTACTTGACCTAGTAAGTGAATTTGGAGAAACAGCCAGATACAAAGTCAATACTGAGAAATCAAAGGCATTTTTGTACACCAACAATGAAATCTCAGAAACAGAAATCAGGGGAAAAAATCCCATTTGATATAGCAAAAAGAAAAATAAAATACCTAGGAATAAACCTAACCAAGGAGGTAAAATACCTGTACTTAGAAAACTGTACAACACTGAAGAAAAAAAATAAGGAAGACACAAACAAATGGAAGCACGTACCATGCTCATGGATTGGAAGAATTAACATCATCAAAATGGCCATACTACCCAAAGTGACTTATAGATTCAATGCAATCCCCATTAAAGTACCCATGACATATTTCACAGATATAGAACAAACATTTCAGAAATTTATGTGGAATCATAAACGACCCTGAATAGCTGCAGCAATTTTGAGAAAGAAGAACAAAGCAGGGGGGATCACAATATCTAAAATCAAACTGTATTATAAGGCCAGTGTAATAAAAACAGCTTGGTACTGGCATAAAAACAGGCACATAGACCAATGGAACAGAACAGAGAGCCCAGAAATAAACCCAAGTCTCTATGGTCAATTAATATTTGACAAAGGGAGAGAAGCATAAACTGGAGCAAAAATAGCCTCTTCAACAAATGGTGTTGGGAGATCTGGACAGAAACATGCAAAAAAATGAAACTCAATCACCAACTTATACCACACACAAAAATAAATTCAAGGTGGATAAAAGACTTAAATATAAGTCATAACACCATAAGAGTCCTAGAGGAAAATATTGGCAAGGAAATCTCAGACATTCCATGCAGCAACATCTTCACGGATATGTCCCCTAAAGCAAGGGACATAAAGGAAAGAATAAACAAATGAGACCTCATAAAATTAAAAAGCTTCTGTACAGCTAAAGAAAACAGCATTAAAATGAAAAGAGAACCAACTATTTCGGATACCTTGGATAAGGGTTTGATCTCCAAGATATATAAAGAACTCCAGGAAGACAAAAAACCCAATTAAAAAATGGGCAAAAAGACTTGAACAGACATTTCTCCAAGGAGGACACACAGAGGGGCCCAGAGACATGAAAAGATGCTCAGCATCACTAGCTATCAGAGATACAAATTAAAACTACAATGAGATACTACCTCACACTGGTCAGAATGTCCAACATAAACAAATCAACCAACACTTGTTGGAGAGGATGCATAGAAAAGAGAACACTAGTGCACTGTTGCTGGAAATGCAAACTGGTGTAGCCACTGTGGAAAACAGTATGGAATTTCCTCAGAAAACTAAAAATGGAACTGCCCTTTGACCCAGCAATTCCACTGCTGGGATTATACCCTAAGAGCCCTGAAATACCAATCCAAAAGAAGCTATGCACCCCAATGTTCATAGCAGCCCAATTTACAATAGCCAAGTGTTGGAAGCAGCCTAAGTATCCATCAACAAGTGAGTGGATAAAAAAACAAACAAACTATGGTACATTTACACAAGGGAATTCAACACAGTAGAGAGAAAGAAGGAGCTTATACCCTTTGTGACAGCATGGATGGAACTACAGAGCAGTATGCTAAAAATCAGCCAGGCAGTGAGGGACAAATACCATATGATCTCACCTTTAACTAGAACATAATCAACAAAAGAAAAAAGTAAACAAAATATAACTAGAGACATTGAAATTAAGAACAATCTAACAATAGTCAGAGGGGAGGAGGGGGACAGTGGGGAGAAGAGTTTTCAGGAACAACTATAAAGGACACATGGACAAAATCAAGGCAGGTGGGATCAGGGGAGGGAGGTGGGTTTGGCTGGGGTGGGGGAAGGGGTGGGGAGAAAATGCAGACAACTTTAATTGAACAACAATAAAGTAATTTTAAAAAAGTAAAGAGAAAAAAATGTAAACAACAGAAAATAACAAATCCTCAGGAGCCTTTGGGACAATGTTAAAATGTCTAAAAATATATGAGATTGGAGTCTCAGAAGAAAAGTAGACAGACTGGAGTACAATTTTTTTCTCTAATGGCAGACTTCCCAAATACAGTGAAAGACATGAATTTACAGATTCAAGAAACTCAGTAAATCCCAAACAGAATAAATATGAAGACAACAACACCTAAACATATTATATCCAAACTTAGAAAATCAAAGAAAAGATAAAATCTTGAAAGCCCCTAGAGAAAATAAACAATGATTTGAATAACTAGACTTCTGATCATAAACTATAGAGATCAAACACAGCAGAACAACATCTTTAAATACTAAAAATAAAATACAAAATTGAAAACAGAATCAACCCAGAATCCTAGATCTAGCAAAGATATCCTTTAATAAAGACATTATTTTCACATGAAAGAAAACAGAATGTGTTGCCTGCAGATCTATACTTTAAGAAATGCTAAGGAAGCTCTTTGGGCTGAGAAGAACATACACCAGAAGGAGACTTGTATTTTCAGGGAAGAATAAGAACACTGGAACTGCTACACTGGGAGAAAATAAACTGGCCACTGCAGCCTCCAAGTGAGCGTACATGTGCCTCAGCCTGACATCCAATGCCTCTCACCTTCACAACACAACATATACACCTCCTGGCCCTGTTTCTTTCACAAGAGGCACTTGTGAACTTTTAACAATATCACACTGAGTCCCAGCTTCAGCTTTTACAAATGCTACTCCCTCTACCCCAAACTCCCTCCTTTCCTTTTTTTCTCTATGTAAATCATATGCATAAAAATTCATACTACAACTCGAAACACTTGGTTTTCCAAGTCACTTCTAATGGGCCAGGATCTGTTGTGTATTTCTGTATGCAGTTCCAGGAACAGAACAATAAATATGCTGCTAAAACATCTTAGTGATATCAAAGCACCTTCTCCTCTATTATTTCATTTAGTTCAAACATCAGCAATTTGATGCAGGAGAGCAGGTCTGGTGACCCACCTTGTATAGGTGAGATAGCCAAGGCTCAGAGAAGGTGAATGGTTTTCACAAAGCTGCACAGAGCCCAGAGAAACTGGCATTAGTGCTTGGCTTCTCCAATTCTCATCCTAGTTCTTTGTCCACTTGGCCACACTGACACACAACATATGGTGCCTGCCTGTAATCAATTTATAATCTTGCATTATACACTTCTCACATATCTACATAAGGTAAATTTTAAGACAACACATTCCTAGATTGAAAATCTCGAACCTGGCCAAGTATCAATGATACTCACAAAAACTTCAAAATCCAGAACTTATAATAGACCAACTGAATCAGAATCTCTCTGGAAATGTGCCTGGGAATATTCATTGTTAAAGTCCCATAGGTGATTCTGATATGCAACCAGAGCTGAGAACCTCTCCATTGAATGACTAATCAAATGACTAATCCAGACTGTGGGCAATGTGAACAGAGAGAAATGGGTGTGGGGTGGGGTGCCACAAAGAAGGGAAAACCTGAGCAGGGGTTTGAAGAAGGGAAATTTTGGATTGCCAGAGAAGAGGGAGTGCATGTCAGGCCAGTGTGAGGCAGGGGGCTGGTCAGAAGGTTGAGACATGTTCAAGAGAGGGGATGTTTCTGAGCAGAGGTTCACTGATCTAAAGGAATCTGGACATAAGGGTGAGAATGTAGTGGCTAATGTTGAGGATGAATAGGAAAGGCAGGAGACAGGAGATTAGGGATCAGATGCTTAAGCCCCATCATATACTCCTAGAGTGCTTCTGTCCATAATACTTTCCTTGAGGCTCTTACTCTCAGGCCACTTTGAGTGGATTCTATGTTCTGTGATCTTTCTTTGAATCCCAATCCTATGAGCTTGTACCTCTCTCACAGCCCTGATCCCTCTCTACCCTGTGTTCTTATTAACCCACACCCAGGCTTTTGAATTTCTCAAGGGGTCTGTTCATCTTTATATCCCCTAGATCAGTTTTTCTCAACCAGGGGCAATTTTGACCCCCAGGGAACATTTGGCAATGTCTGTTGGTATATTTTGATTATCATAGCTGGAGGGCAGTGTACTACACTAGCATCTAGTGAGATGCTGCTAAAATTATCCATCCCCAAATGTCACTAGTGCTAAGGATGAGGAACTCAGGCTTAAAGTGATATGCATACTTAATTGCTTTATTAGGAAATTAAATTTAGTATTTAGTATTAGTAATTCAACATTGACTAATCAATAAATATTTCATTAATGGCTATTTGAACAACCCAATGAAAGAAAAAAAAATAGGTTTGGGTTTATTAGCCACCATTGACTCCCAGGCTTTTTAATTTCACAGATAGCAAAGTTATAAAAACAAAAACTAGAGAAACCAACATAGAATTGTTAATTTTTCTTTTTGCCATGTATAGGCATTAAAAATAAAACTATCAACTATTATAATAGTTACTTCCTAAAATAATGGACATTTAAACTATCAAATGTAATAGTATTAATAATAAAAATAATATAGAAAGGATATTACATAAAAAAGGTTAGTACAAAGCCAACAGTTGCTGTAGGTTGGTGAAAAGTTCACTTTAGCCAGCCCTGGACCACTGCCCACCAACTTAGGGACCTCTGAATGAGACTACAAGATCCTGGACAGCAGGGCTTTTGTCTTACAGGTAGCCTCTGGTAGCCTGATGCCAAGCAGCCCAGGGAAGGCTGCCAAGGCCACCCTACCTGTGCTGCCAACCCCTACCTTATATTCCAGGGAGATCAAAGTCTCTGTCTTAGAAGCCCAGCTCCACTTGTGAACTGCATAGCCCTTGTAGTCGCTGGTGGTCCCGCCTTCCTCATCCAAGATCAAGACAAATGAGCAGCTAGGAGAGACACATAGGTAAGGAGCTGCCATCAGGCCCCTGAAGGATGCCCTCATCACTACAGGATGTAGGCAGGCAGAGCTCTGAAGCTCTCTCCCAGGTGGAAGAAGCATAGACTTCTGCAGTCAGCCTCACTTCCCCTGCCTAATATGGTCTGAGGCCCCATTATACCTGTTGATGTTAATGGTAGAATTTGTTGGGAAGGACAGGTCTGATGGAGATGATAGTGACTCAGGCCAAACCCAAGAGGGATATAAATGGAGTATGTACCCTGTTGCCCAGGAACTTGAGTATACAAGACTTTATGCATCAAAATGGGAACATCTTTAACATGGGTGTCAAACTCATTTTCACCGGGTGCCATATCAGCCTCACAGTTGCCTTCAAAGGGCTGAAATTATTTTAAGACTGTGTAAATGTAACTACTCCTTAACTGTTAAGAAGTTAAAATTACATTCAGCCCTTTGAAGGCAACCATGAGGTTGATGTGGCCCCTGATGAAAATGAGTTTGACACCCCTGATCTATAACATGAAGGTAAGTCATTTCTTCCAAGAACAGTTCCTTATGAAAGGCCAGGCAAAATCAACTTTTGGCTGGAAAAAATGTGTGCCAGCAAAAATGTGGTGCCTGTGGCCTCTCCTTCACTCTTACCTGGTGTAAAACATTTCTTTCCACAAAAGCATTGTTCCATGAATCTAGCTGACACTCAAAGTCTTAGTGCTATGGGGATACAAGTGGAGTAGGTCTTAGAGAATTGCCATTCTCATTGGCTATGACACAGTTACAGCAAGTGAGGGCTTTGAAGTACCTGTGTTGCTGCAGGCACTGCCTCACTGCCTCCCTTAGCCTCTAGACATTGCCCGGTCACTCCTTTCCCCAGAGTCTCCTACTTGCCACCTCAGTGCTCCCTTTGTTACCCCCAGAGATACTACATTGGGCCATGATTTCCCTAACCCACTCACCAGGCCTTTTGGTTGTGGTGAACGCAGCCCTGGCCTTCAGCATTGAACAGGGCCAGGAAAGAGAAGTTTGATGTGTCATTAAAGAGGCAGGTGATGGTTCTCCCTCTGCAGCACGTGGGGATCTGACACAAGGCAATGTTTCCGGAGGGATAGCTGGCAGAAATGGTTAAGTAGAACTAACAAAAAACTCTCCAGGTTCTTGATCAGTTGACCCATGGAAAGCAAGTCTACAAGTCTAAGTGTTAGCTTAATGATACATCATTCCCAGTTTTCAAAGACCCTCTCTGCACTTTGTATAAAAAATTACTAAATGACTGTGGAACTTACCATGCCTCTGGTGCTTCCCTGTATCTTCTTTCTATTCCTCAAAACTACCCAGTGGTAAATATTATCATCTCCATCTCAGAGATGAGTAGAGTATCCCCACATCTGAGGGGTTTCCTAGGAGGGGGGACTGTCATTGTTAAAACCAGGAAAGTCTTGGGCAAACCAAGATGACCTGATCACTCTACAGCTGAGAAATCCAAGATGCAAAGAAACAGTCTGCCTCACATCACAGCACAAGGAAGTGGTAGAGCCAGTATCTCAACCCAGGCCAGTGATATTTCTAATGCTGTCAGGCTGCCTCCTCTTCTGACCAATCTAGGAGAGCAGTCAGTGTGTACCTGCTCATTACTTACCAAGAAGCCCAAACAAGCACTAGTTCTAGCTAAGAGGGATATGGTATGGGATGCCACTATCCTGTTCATAGAAATTTCAGAAGTATGTCAGACAGAAAAATTTCAGGGAGTAGCACTAGGATCCTCTTGACCCTTTCCCAAAAACTGTCAAAAAATTAACACAAATGGTAAAAAGTAACCAAACAGAAATTCTGAAGTTGAATCGTATAACAAATAAAATGAAAAAAATCACCATGAGTTTATCAGTAGAATGGTACAGTAGAAGAAAGAATCAGTGAACTTGAAGACAGAGTAATTAAAAGCCAGTCTGAGGCACTGAAAAAAAAAAAGAATGAGGAAAAACAAAAAAAAACTGGGAGATCTGTGGATGATTATCAAGTCAACCAACATATGTATAACAAGAGCCCCAAAGAAGAGGAGCAAAAGAAGGCAGAAAAATATTTGAATAAATAATGGATGAAAACTCCCCAAATTTTATAAAAGAGTGATGTCTTTCAGAAAATTTGGGGAGTTTTCATCCATTATTTAATAATAAGCTCAGCAAATTCCAAGTAAGATAAATTCAAAAAGAGCCACACTGAGACATTATCAAACTGCCAATAGGTAAAGAGGAAATCCTGCAAGAGGCAAGAGAAAAGAAACTTGTCATGTACAAGGGATCTTCAACAAGATTAATGGCCAATTTGTCATAAGAAACTATGCAGGCCAAAGGGCAGTATGATGGATTATTTATAGAGCTGAAAGAAAAATAGCAGTCAACCAAGAATTCTATATTAAGCAAAACTATCCTTGAAAATTTAAGGGGAAATTAAGACTTTCCAGATAAAGGCTGAGAAAATTCATAATTACAAGAAATGTTAAAAGAAGTCCTTTGGGATGAGATGAAAGGCCACCTGACAGTAACTCACAGACATGCAAAGAAATAAAGAACACTAGTAAAGTAACTATATAAGTAAATATAAAAGCCAGCATTACAGTATTTTTGGTTATAATTCCTCTTTCTTTCCTATGTGATTTGAAGAAAACAAATGCATAAAGTGATAATTATAAACCTATGTTAATGACATACATCTATATAAAGACGTAATTTTTGATAACAACATAAAGGAGAAGGAATACGATATATAAGAGCAGAGTTTTGCATACTATTAAGGCAAAGTTAGTATTAATTCAAACTAGTTTGTTGTCACTTGTAGTAATCAAGTACATTAGTTTCTTGGGGCTCCTGTAATTAAGCCACTTGAACAGCAGAAATTTATTATCTCATAGTTCTAGAGACTAGCAAGGTGTTGACAGGGTCATGCTTTTAGAGGCTCAGTAGAAGAATCCTTCCTTGCCTCTTCATAGTTTCTAGTGGTTGTCAGGAATCTTTGTCATTCCTTGGTTTACAAATGCATCATTATAATCACTCTCTCAGTCATTACATGGCCTTAATTACTCTGAGTGTAACTCTGGTTTTTCTTCTTGCATTATGGCCTACAATAACCCAATATGTCTGCATTTTAACTTAATAATTACATCTGCAAATACCCTATTTCTTAATATGGTCACATTCTGAGGTTTCAAGTGAACATAATTTTTTGACAGGCACTATTTAACCCATTACACCAGGATAATCACCAAGAAAATAACTTTGAAAATATGGAGAAAAGAAAATGAGAAGGGAATCAAAATGTCATCCTACAAAAAAAAAAAAATCAAACCCAAAAGAAGGCAGTAATGGAGGAACTGAAGAACAAAAAAGATATAAAAAATGGCAGGATTAAGCTTTTTCATATCAGCAATTACTTTAAATATAAATGGATTAAATTCTCCAAACAAAGGCAGAGATTGTGAGAGTGGATTTAAAAAGCATAATATGTGTATATGTTGTCTATAAATCACTCATTTTAGAGCTAAAGACACAACTAGGTTAAAAGTAAAATTATGAAAAGGGATATTCCATACAAAATGTAACCAAAAGAGAACAAAGTTGGCTTTATTGATATCAGATAAAACAAACTTTAAGTAAAAATTCTTTCACAAGAGACAAACAGGGACACTATGTATTCAGAAAATGCTCAGTGCCTCAAGAATATATAACAGTTATAGACATATACACACCTACCAACAGAGCCTTAAGTTATATAAAGCAAAAATTTACAGAATTAAAAAAATAAATACTATAATAAGAGTTGAAGATTTCACTACCTCACTTTCAATAATAGATAGAACAATTAGATAGAAAATAAAAAAGAAATACAGGACTTGAACACTATTATAAACCAACTAAACCTCATTGGCATATACAGAGTATCCTATCCAACAACAGCAAAATACATATTCTTCTCAAGTCCACATGGATCATTCTCTGGTACAGACAATATGCTAGACCACAAAGCAACTCTCGATAAATTTTAAAAGATTATAACCATAAAAAGTATATTTCAACACAATGAAACTAGAAGTCACTGGCAGAAGGAAATTGGGAAAATGCAAAAATAGATGGAAATTAAATAATACACTCAACCAATGGATCAAGAACAAATCACAAAGAAAATTTAAAAAATAAGATAAATGAAAATAAAAACACAGCATACCAAAACTTATGGGTTAAAGTAAAAGCAGTGCTCAGAAAGAAATTTATAGCCATAAATACTGGCATTAAAGGAGAAGAAAGGTATCAAATTAATAACCCAAACTTCCACCTTAATGAACTATAAAAAGAAAGAGCAAATTAAAACTAAAGTTAGCAGAAGGAAGGAAATAAAGATTAGAGCAAAGAAAAACAAAATAGTGAATAGTAAAACAATAGAGAGAACCAACAAAACACAAAACAGTTCTTTGAAACAATTAACAAAATTCACCAATCGTCAGCTAGACTAAGAGACAAAAAAGGAAAACTCAAGTTTCTAAAAGTATAGATTAAAGTGAAGACATTACTAATGATATCACAGAAATGAAAACAGATCATAAGAGAATTATGTGGACAATTATTCATCCACAAGTTAGATAACTTAGATGACAAGGACCTGCTCCTAGAAACATACAAAGCACAGTTACAGGACACAGGATCAACACACAAAAATCAGTAGTCCTTAATAAATGTGGGATATCTTTCCACTCATTTCAGTCTTCTTTATTTCAAGAATATTTTGTAGTTTCCTGTGGACAAGTCTTACACCTTTTTGGTTAAATTTATTCCAAAGTATTCTTTCCTTTTTAATGGTATTGTAAATGATATCACTTCCTTCTGTTCATTACTTTTTTAATTGTTGTTGTACTTACAGCATTTCAGGTCACTTATTGCTAGTATTCATGAATTAAAAGAATCAATGTTGTTAATGGCAATATTGCCCATAGTGATCAAAAGAATCAATGCAATCTCTATCAAAATTTCATCAATCTTCTTCACAGAAATAGAAAACTTGATCCTAAAGTTCATATAGAATTGCAAGGGATCCCAAATAACCAAAATAATCTTGGAAAAAAGAACAAAGTTGAAGGACTCATATTTCTTGATTTTAACACTGCCTACAAAGCCGCAAGAATCAAAACTGTGTGGTACTTGCATAATAACATACACATAGACCAATGAACTAGAATTGAGAGTCAAAAAATAAACTAATACATCTATGGTCAATTGATTTTTAACAAGGGTTCCAAGACCATTCAAATGGGAAAATAATAGTCTCTTCAACAAATAGTTCTGGGACAATTAGATATCACATGCAAAAGAATGAAGTTGGACCCTTATCTCACACCATGCAAAAAATGCAAAAATGCAAAAATCAACTATAAAGGTATCAAAAGCCTATATGTAAGAGTTGTAACTATAAAACTTTTAGAAGAAAACATAGGAATAAACAGTATTCATACATATAAAAACCAAAGTACAAGAAACAAAAAAAAATAGAAAAATTAGCTTCATCAAAATTAAAAACTTTGCATACCAAAGGATGCTATCAAGAGTGTGGAAAGACACACCACTGTATAGGAAAAGTATTTGCAAATCATATATCTGATAAAAGTCTCATATCTACAATATATAAATAACTCTTACAAGAAAAAAATAGTTAACAAATGGCAAAGGACTTGAATATATATTTCTACAAAAAAGATATACAAAGAAGGCACAGAAAGATTCTCAAAATCATTAGCTGTTAGACAAATGCAAGTTAAAACCATAATGGGATATCAGTTCACACCCACTAGAATGGCTGGAATTAAAAAACTGAAAAATACCAAGTATAGTCAAGAATGTGAAGAAATCGGAATCTCACATACTGGTGATGGGAATATAAAATGGTGCAGCCAGTATGGAAAACATTTTGGAGGTTTCTCAGTAAATTAAACATAGAATTACCATATGACCCAGTAATTCCACTCTTATGTATAGAACCAAAAGACTTGAGAATAGGTATGCAAACCAAAATTTCTATAAGAATGTTCATAGCAGCATTAGTCACAATAGCCAAATCATGGAAACAACCTAATGTCCATAAATGAAAGAATGAATTTTTTAAAATCTTCACCTGAGGATATGCTTATTGCAGAAAAAGAGGAAGGGTCTAAGAGATGGGGAAATCATACACACATACACACACACACGTATGGAGAGAGAGACAAACAGCTATATATTGATGTGAGAAACACCGATTCTATCTGCACCCAGACTAGGGATCAAAACCGCAGCCTAGGTATGTGCCCTGACTGGGCATCAAACCCACAACCTCCTGGAGTATGGGATGTTGCTCCAACCAACTGGAGCCACCTGGCCAAGTCAGGAATGAGTTTTTTTAAAAGTGGTATAAGCCAAATAATACAATATTATTCAGCCAAAAGGGAAGAAATTCTGATGCCTGCTACAACACGTACAAAATCTTGAAAACATTAAGTGAAAGAAGCTGGAAACAAAAGGCCACATATTGTAGGAGTCCATGTGTACGAGATGCCCACAACAGGCAAATCCACAGGAAGCACACTGGTGATTTCAGGGCTGGGAGCAGGGGGAGAGAGGGAGTGAATGCTTAATGGGTGTAGAGTTTTCTTTTGGGGTGGCAAAAAGTTTTCCTAACTTGATGGAGGTTGTGGTTGCACAATAGTGTAAATGTACTAAATGCCACTGAATTATAAATGTTAAAAGAATCACTTTTATGTCATGTGAGTTTAACCCCCTACCTTTTTTTAAGAAAAAGGAACGAAGCACTGATGCATACTACAGCTGACCCTCGGACTACATGGGATTCGGCAGTGCCGACTGCTGCGTGGTGGAAAATCTGCGTACACCTTAACTTGGCCCCCCACATTCAAGGATTCCCAGCCTCTAGTCAGTCCTTGGCAACATGAGTCTGAACTGCAATGGTCAACTGAACTTCAGACAATTAAACCAAGCAGGGCCAATTGAACTGAATGAATTAATTGAAAAAAAAAATCCACATTTAAGTGGACATTCACAGTTAAAACCTGCTATGTTCAAGGGTAAGCTGTACAATGTGGAAGAACCTTGCAAATATTATGCTACATAAAAGAAGCCAAGTACAAAAGGCCACATACTGTATGATTTTACTCAGATTAAATAACCTTGAATAGGCTAATACATAGAGGTGGAAAGACTGGCTGCCTCCAGAGAGGGCAGGGGAAGGGACATGGGAGTGGCTGCTTACTCGGTATGGGGTTTCCTTTTGGGGTGATGAAAAAGTCTGAAACTAAATAGTGGTGATGGTTATATACAATCGTGAATGCACTTGACGCCATTTAAATTATACATGTCAAAATGGTTAAAATGGTAAACGATGTTATTATGTGCATTTTACCATATTAAAAAAAAGTGCTTACCTCACACAATGGTTAGGAGTGTTCAACAAATCCTTAAGGGAACAGTGCTGAGCACAGTACTGAACACAAAGTGATTAAGGTTTATATCTTTTTATCAGTGTGGTGAGTTTATAGCGTCAGACAAAAAAAGGCTTTGAAGGAAGTTTGGTGGGAAATCAGAGATTGAGGGAAGAGATCCAGGCAGATGCTGACAACCCAAATGAAATGAATTCTGGGACGGCTCTGGGGTCTGATGCTGACAAGTGCAAACCGATCAGGGCTTGGAGACTTCGGCATCCCAAGGGCAGATGTATCATTTCTACCTGAGAGCTTTGCCCAGTATCTCTGTGAAAACAGAATCAACTGCTGAGCCTACTGTTCTGTAGAAGCCATGAGGAAAGGGAAGTGTTTTCCAAACATTTTCTTTACTGAAGAGGGATCCAACAGTGCATCGTGTTTTAACCATTTGAACACAGTAACACAGAGTTTCTCCTTCAAGATCACTGGGTCCAGCTTCCTCATCTTATAATGGAGGGAAGTGAGGCCCAGAGAGATAAAGTGACTTGTGCACAGTCACCGAGAAGAACTAGGCCCCAAACCCAGACCTTTTGGGACTCCCATAGAGGAAACGCATTAATTGCCAGGATGTGTTCATTGTTGGGCTATGAGTCAAGCATGCCAGCAACAGCGGCCTGCAGGCTCTGGGTGGTCCCACCCTGGTTGGGCTGGCACTCCGAGGCAGGTGAGGGAACATGCATCCCAGCAGGCTGGTGCTGGGCCCTGACTGTAAATAGTCTACCCTCTCTGGTTCCACTGACAGCAACCTAATTCACAGACACAGCTTCATGAGGAGCTCAGGAATGATCCCATTCGATGCGCTGCACAGCAATAAAAGTGGGGAGGGAGAAGCCCCGTGACCCACAGGGAGCAGCAGCTGCCCTGGAAACAGTTTATTGTGTTCAGTATCACAGGGTGCATTAGAAGCAGGGCCGAGCAGAGTGTGATGAATGGACTCATTTACAGTCGAAGAAACAACAGGACTCTTTTGACAGGGCGCTTAAATTCTGAATTCCCAGTTCAGTGGAGGGGAGATCAAAATGAATTGAGGGGGGTGTGGCAAAGCAGGCCTGTCTGGGCAGCCCATCTGACAGCTCAGAGAGCTGCCCTATTCTCCAAAGGCAGGGGGCACTGAGTGCCCTGTGGTTTTATCACAGGGCCCTTTCCTCCTCTCTACGCTGCTCACTGCTGGAGCAAACAATCCTGAAAGGCATAAAAATGGTACCAGGGAGGGGGCCCTAAATGGAGGTGAGGCAGCCCTGAATCCAGGCCTGGCTCGGCCACCAAATTCCTTTTGAGACATTGAGTAAGTCACACTACCCATTCCTACAATGAAGGGACAAGAATGAATAGCGGCCTAGTATCTCCCCTCTTTGATGTCACACTCAAACCAGGCTGCAAAACCTGGAGTAAGTGTTCCACCCTCTCTGGCTGCAGCCTTGCTGCCAAATGGGTTGGGTGTTTGTGGTCCTGGGCCAGCTCCAGCACACGTTGGGGAGCGGGCAGCAGGACCACTGCAAGGAGCACAGGGGTCCAAGGTGACTTCCTTCCTGCTCTGCCTCTTCCCACCCAGATGTTCTCTAAAGGGAGCCCTCTGTGACCTGGACAAACTCTTAATACTCTGGAGGGCCCGTCACCAGGATTCTTGGATTAATTGAAAAACCAAAGTGATACTTAGGCTTTTTCTGGCCCAAAAGTTCTCTGGAGGTAGGTGGCTGGGGACAAGGGAGCAGCCCCAAATAAAAGGATACTAAACAAAGGAAGACCCATCGTAGAAGGAGTAGTGAAACCTGAAGGGCTTCTTGGCTCCCTTCCACTCCTGAGACTGACGGCCGAAGTGAGCACGGGAGACTTGAGGCTGGTGAAGGACGGCAATAGCAACCTGAGCACTGGAAGAGTTAGGTTGTTGGGAGCTCGGGGTCTGAGCATCCCCTTTCAGGGTCGATGTTGGATGATAAGGCACCTTTATCCTATAGTTGCGTAAGATCATGGGGTAGAAGACATTCTTCCCTTTCCATGAGGCTCTTTCGGCTTCTCTGCAGGGAAGGAGGCAACGTATCTTCTAGCCACTTGGCTCTCACTCACCAGGGAGGCTCTCTGCAGCCCTGCCCCAGCTCCCAAGACTCCCATGCCATTTCCCTGTCCCAGAAGTGCCTGTTCCCACCCCACACTCTTCATCCTTAAAGTCAGTATTTCTAAGAAGAACTGGGAAGGGACTGGTACAGCTTTGAGATTAGCCCTTTCCACTTTCAGTGCTGGGTGAGGACCCATGGAGAGGGGCCGTGTGCAGAAGTGGGGTCTGGGGGAAATGGAGGCTCTGCTCACTCTCCAGTCCTGAGGTTACAGGAAAAGAGAGTTTCCTTCCAGAGTGTCCAAGGAGCAAAACTGAGTGGTCTCCTTTTACCCATGTTCTGTAGCTGCGATAATACTGAAGGGCCAGGGAGCCCAAGACATATATGGCTTAGATGTGACTAAGTTTAAAGTTCTTTATGGCCCATGGTCTGGGCCTTCAGAGACGTAGAGACTTAGCTTGGTAGGACTTATGGGACCCATAAAATCATATATATCACTAATTATCCATGTCAACATTTTCTGTTTGTTTTTAGAGGTGTTTCTTTGTTTTGTAGGAGAACCCTGACAAGTTATTTTAAGAAAGAAACATTCAGGGTCCAAAGGCTACACTTGTACGGTAAAAGTCCCGTAAAGGGGTATCACTGGTGAGGAGACCAAGGTCAATGCCTGGGGGTCAGCCCCACCTGAGCTGTGGGACCTCAAGCAATGCCTCAGTTTCCTCACTCACAAAATGGGCAAACATCCACGTTCCTCATAAGACTGTATAAGGACTGGAAAGGATTGTGACGGGCTGGGGACAGTCCATCACCCTGTCACTGTTGTTAGGGGCACCAAGTACCTGACAGTCCCTGACACTCAGGCACTTTTGTGATTTCCCCTTTAGGCACACAAATGACTGGCAGACGTGCCCTTCCCTCCCACCCACCCCCAACCACGGAGGTGCTCACATGTGGCGACACATCTCCTGCAGCTTCTCCCGGGCCTCAGGGCAGGGGTCGCTGAGCTGCGCGTTGTCAGAAGTTACCATTTTTCGTTGAGAGGGTGATGTGGACATGTCTTCTAAAATTTTTGGTTTGCCTGTAGCCGGAGACACAGAGGTTAAGGACAGAGTTTTAGAAAATGCCTTCTTCGGGGGGAGAGAGGTAGGGGGAGCAGGAGGCAGGATCCCCTGAGAGTTAAAATAATTCGGAGAGTCGTTGATGCTTCCTGGGGACAGGAATCCCTGTTTTATAAGCTCACTTATGAGAGTTGATATCACTCCGTGAGTCAACCAAGTGTGTGTCAGGAACAGACTTGTGCAAAGTGATGAATCCAACTATCTTTCCCCAAGGATGGCCTGGTTCTAGGCGGGGAGGGCACAGATACGCCACCGTGGATGCCAAAGAGATTCCCTTTTGACATTTTTGATCAAAGAAAAAAGTTGCAATTCTCCCTCATCTGGCTTCAATACTTCTCTGATGTTTCCTACACTCAGGCCTTCTGCAGAGGGCAGTGTGGACCCACTGAGTATTGGACTGCAATTTTTTTTTAACATTACAGTAAAACACACAAAACAAAAATGTACTACCATAACCATTTTTAAGTGAACAGTTCAGTGGTGTTAAATGTAGTCACATTGTTGCCCAACCATTACCACTATCCATCTCTGTAACTCTTTTTATCTCATAAAATTACAACTCTGTGCCCATTAGACAGTAACTGCCATTCCCCCTCCACCTGCCCCTGGAAACCACCATCCTACCTTCTGTCTCTATAAATTTGACTACTCTATGTACCTCATCTGAGTGGAGTCACACAGCACTTGTCTTTTTGTGACTGCTTTATTTCATGTACCATGAAGTCCTCAAGGTTCATCCTGTTGTAGCAATTTCCTTTCTTTTTAAGGTTGAGTGATGTTTCATTGTGTGAGATTGCATTTTCTGTATCTGTTTATCCATTGATGGACACTTGGGTTGCTTCCACATTTTAGCCATTGTGAATAATGCTGCTATGAACACGGGTGGACAAATATCACTTTGAGACCCTGCTTTTAACTCTTTTGATACAGTGGAATTGCTGGATCTTATGGGAATTGCATTTTTAATTTTTAGGACTTGCCACACAACTTTCCACAGTGGCTGTACCATTTTTACCTTCTTTAATTCTTGGTGTGTGTGTGTGTGTGTGTGTGTTATGATAGTAGATATCTTGCTGGTGTAGCATGCAGTAGCATCTCATTGTAGTTTTGATTTGTATTTCCCTAGTGATTAGTAATGATGAGCATCTTTCATGTATTGATTGGCCATTTGTGTATCTTCTTTGGAGAAATATCTATTGAAGTCCTTTGCTTATTTTAATTCAGGTTGTTTTTTTTTTGTTGTTGTTGTGGAAGTTTAGAAGTTCTCTATATATTCTGGATATCAATCCTTATCAGATATATGATTTACAAATATTTCCTCCCATTAGTTGGACTGCATTTTGCTCTGTGGATTGTGTCTTTTGTTGTACAAAGTGAAAAAAATTCCACTGAAGTCCAGTTGGTCTATTTTTCCTTGTGTTGCCCATGCCTTTGGTGTCATATCCATGAAATCATTGTGAAATCCAATGTCATAAAGCTTTTCTCCAACGTTTTCTTCTAGGAGTTTTATTGTTTTGGTTCTTGCATTCAGGTCCTTGGTCCATCTGAAGTTAATCTTTGTAAATGGTCTTAGGTAAGGGTCCAACTTCATAATTTTGCAGGCAGATGTCCAGTTTTCCAGCACCATTTGCTGAAAAGCCTGTCCTTCCCCAATTGAATGGTCTTGGTACCCTTGTCAAAAATATTTGATCATATACGCAAGAGTTTTCTTCTGGGCTCTCTATTCTATTCCTTTGATTGCTGTAGCTTTGTAGTAAGTTTTGAAATCAGAAACTGTGAGTCCTCTAATTTTGCTTTTTTTTTTAAAGATGTTTTTGGCTATTCAGGGGTCCCTTGACAGTCCACATGAATTTTAGGATGCGTTTTTCTATTTCTGCAGAAAACATAATTGGGGTTTGGATAGGGATTGAATTAACTTGTAGATTGTTCTGGGCATTACTAACATTTTAACAATATTAAGTCTTCTATCCATGAACATAGGATGTGTTTCCATTTATGTATATATCTTTTAATTTCTTCCAGTAATGTTTTATAGTTTGCACTGTACAAGTCTTTCATCTCCTTGGTTAAGTTAATTCCTAAGTATTTTATTCTTTTTGCTGCAATTGTACATGAAATTGTTTTTCTAATTTCCTTTTCCAATTGTTTATTATTCATGTATGGAAATGCAACTGATTTCTGTGTGTTGATCTTATCTTGCTACTTTGCTGAATTTATTTATTAGTTCTAACAGGGTTTTTGGTGGGATCTCTGGGGTTTAAATATATAAGATTATGTCATCTGCAAACAGAGATAATTTTGTTTCTTCCTTTCCAATTTGGATGCCTTTTTAAAAAGTTCTTTATTTTTGGGCAGAAGGGAAGGGAGGGAGAAAGAGAGGGAGAGAAACCATGCTTGGCTGTCTCTCATGTGCCCCACACTGGGGGACTTGGCCCACAACCCAGGCATGTGCCCTGACTGGGAATGGAACCAGAGAACCTTTGGTTTGCAGACCAGTGCTCAATCCACTGAGCCACACCAGCTGGAGTGCAATTTGGATGCCTTTGATTCCCTTTCTTGTCTAATTGCTCTGGCTAAAATTTCCAGTACTGTATTGAATAGAGGTGGTGAAAGCAGGCATCCGAGCCTTGTTCCTAGTCTCAGGGAAAGCTTTCAGTCTTTCCCCATTGAGTGTAATGCTTGCTGTGGGTGTGTCATATATGACTTTGATTATGTGGAGGTGGTTTCCACATAAATAACATCTTTCAAAAATAATATTTAAAACACTGATAGTATTTTTTAAACGTATTAGTCTTTTAAATCATGCAGAAAAATGGAGTTACAAACCACTGTTACAATATGATTACTTTTATAATTGGCCATGTTTTTACTTTTATTGAAATCTTTATTTCTCTTCATGGCTTTGAGGTACTGTCTAGTGTACTTTCTCTTTTAAAATTATTTATTTATTTATTTATTTTAAAGATTTTATTTATTTGTTTTTAGAGAGAGAGGAAGGGGTGGAGAGAGAGATGGAGGGAAACATCAGTGTATGGTTGCCTGTTGCGCACCCCAGGTGTGTGCCCTGACTGGGCACCTGGGCTAGCGTGCTTTCATCTTGCAGAACTGCCTTAAGCGTTTCTTGCAGGGTTAGGCTGGTGACCACAAACTCCCTCAGGTTTTGTTCATCTGGGAATGTTTTAATATCTCACTTTTGAAGGACAGTTTTGCTGGATATAAAATTCTTGGTTAAAAACTTTTCTTTTAATGCTTTGAATATATAGATCCATATCTGTGGCCTCCAAAGTTTCAGATGAGAAATCTATTGATAATCTTATTGAGGATTACTTGTATATAATGATTTGCTTTTCTCTTGCTGCTTCCAAGATTCTCTGCCTTTGTCTTTTGAAAGTTTGATTATAATGGCTTCTTTGGTGCTTATATTCAGGTCTTTCATCAAATTTGGGAATTTTTCAGTCATTATTTCCTCAAATATTTTCTATGTCCCTCTCTCTCTCTCTCTTCTCCTTCTGGGACTCCCACATTACATATGTCATTCCAGTTGATAATGTCCCATGGGTCCCTTAGACTCTGTTCATTTCTTTTCCATCTTTTCTTTCTGTTCTTCAGATTTAATAATTTCCATTGCCCTGCCTTCAAGTTTTCTGACTCCTTCATCTGCTTGCTCACATCTGTAGATGATACTGCTTTGTGTTTGTTGCACTTATTTTTACAGTTATCTTCTGTGACAAGTGTTAGATGGTATGAGGATATGACAGCAAGAAATTGTAGAGATGATCCTCCAGGACTGTAGTTATAGAGGCATATATTCAGGTCCTGCCTTCTTCTGAGTTTCTATTGCCCACCCAACTGCAGCCTCATGCTCTCTGTAGATATATGCAGGATCAACTTCACCTTGTTTTCAAGAATAAAGTCTGGCTTCACATCAGGGGCATTTCTCAGGCTCCAACTGAGCCCTGAGGGCATCAGACGGAGTTTTCATCACTGTCTATCTATCAAGCCTTGGGGTTTCTGGATAGTGTGTGAGTACTGTCTCTGGTGTGTTCCACCCTGAGTGTTTCCTGGTCCCTTCCCTAACTCCTCCTGCCACCAGAGACCAGAGACTTGACCCTGAGACGCAATTACCAGCTGGCTGACTCCTGGAACTTCTGTTGGCCTAAGCATCCATGTCTGGCCTACACCTGGTTGCCTTGGGTCCTCAAGGGTGATAGCCTCTTGCTCTCACAAGGAACCATTGTTGACAGACTTCTCTCAGTTCTTTTCTTGTAAAGTTAGGCAACTTCTCAGTAAGAGCTATTGTCCTCTGGGAGTAGGCCCAACTCCTGGAGCCTGTCTGCTCCAAGTGTGCCTGGCCCTACAACTGCAAAGGGGGCCAGCTGGTGAGGTGTGATAGCACATGAGCATGGAGCACATAGGGGAGGTCCAAACCTAAAGTGACTTCAAACCAGAAATGCTCTACAATATGTTGTCCAAACTGGGAAAGATTTTACAATGAAAGCGGACATATTTAATAGTTATGCCAGGACAATAAGCATAACTAGGATAATCCTGGGCAAGAAAGGATGCATGACTACTTACAAACTATAAGGGAAGGTTAATCCATACTAGAATGCATGTGTGAGAATAATTCCAAAAAATATTAAGAATCTATAAGAAATGCAGCATCCTTAAACATATATCCTAATGAGAATGATGAAACATCAAGGCAAATTGCATCCTGGTAGGGCAGAAAGGGAAACAGCCATATCGACAAAGAAACCAACAAAAACATAATTAACTTTTACTTAGGAACTACCTTACTCAAGGTACTAGACTTGAGGTCATCAGGAAGAAAAATCATGAAACCATTGTGTGTCTTGAGGATACTCTGTTTTCCTTCAAAGTGACTGGGTCAATTTAGGGCCAGCTCAGGAGGGGATATGATAAAACCAGGAATACATAAACTGGGATGCCAGAAGTGATAGTGTGGGATACTGCACCACAGGGAGAGGAAAGGCATCAACAGAGGTAAAAGAACCAGGGAAATGAGAGGGATGGCTGAATCTACTCTATGCAGTGAAGCTGACGATGCCAGCCCCATTAGGGAAGGCCTTCTTTGTCTTAGAGTCTGCATGTGTAGCCCCGGCATTTAGAACAGTGACTGACAACTAGAAATTGTTTAATAAACACTTGTTCACTAACTGAAAGGATATAGGATCAGCTTGATATGGAGACTGAGGCCTGCAGGAAGGCAAATCACATAGCCAGCCAGGGGCAGGGGCAGGGGCAGGAATAAGATCCAGACTTCTCAACTTCTGGCCTTACCTCCAGTGTCTGTGGAAATCAATTAGACAGCCTTTGAGCATCCCTACCTTATGTTGATCCTGCCACCACCTCCTTTGAATGTAGTCCTCCCTGACCTGCTCCATTTTCCCACTCTGCTATCAAAGCTCAAAGAGGAGGGTGGTGGCCTGGAAGCTCCTTGAGCCCTTACCCTGCCTTCCCTAGCCCCAACTCATCTCCTGTCTGAGATTCTGGCTGCACAGTCATTGCTCTACTGTTTGGCCTCATCTGCCACCCCCATTCTTTCCCTTAAACCCTTCTTTCTGCTGCATGTCTTCTTCGATAGGATGGGAGTGCCCTCTATGTCTTCTTTGTTTTCTGTGCACATGAACTGGCCCCATTTAGGACGCACCGTTAGGTTTTGTATCCAAATACTTATCTTCAGACACTGGTTCCCATATTTGCATTGTGAGTAGGAGCAACACAAACCTCTCTGATTAAAGGGGCTCAGGCTGGGATACTTAGGAGATGCAAGATGTAGGTTTGAGAGGAGTGTTGCTCCAGGTTAAGGAGAAGCACATCTCCAGGAATGGAGGGAATGGGAGCATTCAAGTGGTAAGACTGTACTTTGGAGTAACTAGGTGAGATATGGCAACTTTATGGGAAAGAATCTGTGTCAATAGCTTCTGTCAACAGCCAGGTCATCTGATACATATCCTTCCTATCAGGAAACCAAATCAGATTCTTCTACCTTCACCCCACTTGCACCCCTACCCCTACAGGTGGGCTAAGAGGTCTTGCTGGAAATCACTGTTACCTGCTTTCTTCTTGGCTTCCCTTCCAGTTGAGAGGGAAAAACTTAGACAGCCAGTAGAGGACTCATAGATAAGCTGATAAGGCGTGTTCACTCCCATGGCTGAGATGTTCATGAAGGACTCTGGAGTGGAAGAGAAAAGGATTCTTTTTTCAATTTTTTAATTTGATTTTTTTTAAACAAAACTATAATATGGACTTTTTGTTCTAGCAGAACGGTAGACCAGCAGAATGGTCGTGTTACACAAAATAACCATCTCTTGGAGTAAAAAGACCTTCTAATGTACAAGCAGGCTCTAAGTAATTAAGGAAAATTAAGATTCCTTCCTACAGTCTCCCCATTCCCCCCGCCAATATTTCTCACGAGCGAAGTGACCAGAGCAGGGAGCAGCAAGCAAGGTGCAGGTATAACTGCTGCACGGGGTCAAGAGAGCAAACACTGGGTGAGCTAGAAGGAAATGCGAAGCCATCTGTTTTCCCTTATTCACACCACAAAAATCAGATGCTCCTCCAACATTAGGTCAGTCTCTTGCCAGAATCATACTGTCTTCTATAGAATCATTTGACTATCTGAAAACTTAAGAATTAGGCTCAGCACACCCATCACATGTGGAAAACCTTGATCATTCTTATATAAACTTCAACAAATCCTTTCCCTTTTTCTCCCTGCAAATATGGTTGTTAGAAAATGTTAGGCAACTCCTTCATTGACAAAGCTCATACAATTTCATAAAGAAAATGGCAAACCTGATTTCACAAGTAGACAAAGGTGATAACCAGAGACTGCACGCTGGATGATGCAGCACATAATCACTGACCATCACCAGTGATCCAAAAATTGAAATAAAAACTTTCAGTACCTTATAACTTAGCAGAGAAGCAAAGAATAAACAATAGCCAATGATAGTAAAAATGGAATAAAAATAGTTAACTCTGTGGTGTAGAGAAAACCCATCAAGAAAGCAATATTTAGCAAGAGCTACATACATATTGAGACCCTTTGCCCCAACAAGACCTCTCCTGGGTAGTCAGTCTGAATCACCAATACAGCAGAAATAAGGAGTGATGTGTCTAGAGTTGTGCATTGCAATGCATATTATACTATTAACTTAAAAACCTGGAAACCCAAGCATTTGGTTAATTATGGAACACAAATTAACAAGACTTGGTCATAGCTTTGATCTACCTCACATTATAAGATGGTCTAGAAAACAAAATTCATGCAAAATAAATTAATTTTCATCTTCTTTTTAATGCCCTGGAAAAGCTACCTAATGCAAGTCCTTCTAAAATGAATGCTTTTCCAGAAGAAATATATTCTTCATTTATATTTTGTCATTTAGATATTTTTTCTTCAAACTCTAGGCTCATTTAAAGAAAGGAGTGTCTCAAACAGATGTGGCAACAAGCACAAGAGATGTCCTGGGCAATGTGATGGGGCAAGGTGGGGGGGGGGGAGAGGGAGGCTTTCCCAGGGCTCCACTAAGGCAGCAGGACACAGGCATTACCAAAAAGCTCTCTCTCCAGAGTTTAGCTCTCAGCAAATTCCTGCCCACTAGATTAACCACAACCCACGAGGGACACCAGAGGCTTCTGTGGCACAAGTGAATGCTTGAGACTCTGCAAGACACTTCAACACTTCCTGAGGTGGAGTGCTAATGGTGATGGCCATTTCCTTTTCAAGGTGAGGGAATGGAATGTTCCAGTGGGAGAGCACCATGGGCAGGTCTGGGGGAGGGTGTGCTTGGGCCAGAGCTACCATGGCCCTTCCCCATGGGACTCTCCTCACTCATAAACAGACCAAGGGGCACCTGACCTCCCCCCAAATGAGATGGACCTCTAATCCCTATTAGGAACACAAGGTACAGAACTCCATACAAGCTAGTAACCATCTGCAGAAACAGTTACAGCACATTTAGGGGACCTGTGTTACCCGGGCACTGCTGATCCCAAACAGGACCGGCTCAGAGTGAGTCCCCTAAAATGGAGACCTCCACTGTATGGTAAACAGTGTGGGGGGAAATGTTTGGCATTTTATCTTAAAAAAGGAAAACAAAATTTATCAAAGTAGCCTTATTCTATCTTGTATTTAACAAAAATTCATTGATACTGTAGCACATGCCAATTCTTATGAAAACTAAAAGCTGTGTCAATTTTTTGATGCAGTGTCATCTTCTTAGAACAGAAGTCCCTTCATGGTTGTTTTTTGCAAAAAATGTCCAAGAGCATTACCGATTTTTATTCCTAATTCTTTGATACCCAAACCATCCCTTCTCCATTGAGTCACTATTTCCCTAGACAGTTTCCTGTCTTCAGCAGTTGACGAGCTCTGCTCCACTGCACCACTCATCAGCGGCAACACGCGGGGACAGAGCAGCTCTCCAACATCATGTGCACTGACCTCAGGAAATCCACATTTCCCCCTAAGGACTGCAGTTTTACTGACTGTATCTTATGGGTGAGGGCAAATGGCTATAAGATACAGTAGCCCTGGGAGATACATCCAAGACCCTCAGTGGATGTCTGAATCTGCAGACAGCACCAAATCCTATGTATACTATACACACATAGCTATGATGAAGTTTAATTTATAAATTAGACTCAGTAAGAGATTAACAACAATAAAATATAACAATTAAAACAATATACTGCAGTAAAAAGTAATGGGAATGTGGCGCTCTCTCCCTCTTGCCAGTAATTTTTATATTTTTCAGTCCAAACCTATTCCCAAATGTGCAGCCATTCCTCGCTTGTAGCAAGTGGCCCAGTGTCACTCATTTCTGGGGATCCCTTGCTGAAGTCTTCATACAGATAAGCTCAGTGCTTTCTGGAGCAACGTGTTGCCATCAGCCAGAACACATGTTCTGTTCATGTCTTCTATGCGAAGATTGAATGCCTTTTCCATCTTAACTAATGCTTATCACACACTGTGGCTATAACTTTTGTAGTTTGAGATGCAACAGCAAAATCAGCATGCATTTCTTTTTCCTTTCTTCACAGTTTCATGGGTAGAAGATTGTTCTTATTGTAGATCTTAGCAATCTCAGCATATAGTTTTTTTCTTTATTTATTGTGCCTAGAAGTTTTATTTTTTTTCAATTAAAAATTTTTTTTTCAATTTAAGGAAGCACTGTACAGCTTCTTTGTGGCACATCCCAATTGCCAGCGCCACCACTCTCGCCCTTTGGGGCATTACTAAGTAGAGGAAGGGTGACTTGAGCATGAGGCCTGTGATTCCATGACGGTGGATCTGAGAACAGGAGGGCTACAGTGACTGGTGGGGGAGAAGTGTCCACAGTGCGGAGACGCTGGATAAAGGGAAGATTCACATCCTGGGTTGGATGGAGTCAGACAGCAAGAGACTTCATCATACGACTCAGAATGGCACACAATGTAAAACTTATGAATTGTTTATCCTGGAATTTTCCATTTAATATTGTCAAATCCTGGTTGACCATAGGTAACTGAAACTACTGAAAGTGAAACTGCAGATAAGGGGGAAACATCAATGCTATGTAAATTTTTTATGCTTCTTTTTGAAATCTTCTGATAGCAATGACTTTAGGCATTCAAAACGAATGCTTGTCTATCCACCAAGACTAAGAGATACAATATTACAGATGTGACTGGATCACTGTGTCATCCATACCCCATTCCCCTCCACCCCTCTCCAAAGGTCACATCCTCCAATTTTATACTTGCATACTTTGTACTTTGTATATCATACCAACAGGTGATATATTATTACTTTGCAATCTTTTAAATTTTATTCACATAGTATCATCCCAAATGTATCTTTCTATAACTTGCTTCTTCTCTACTTAACACTATTTTTTGAGATTTATCTCTATTGATATATGAGCTTTAGTGCTTGGTTCATTTTCATTTTCACTTCTCATTATGCCCCATTGTTTAAATAGACTCTAACGTACTTGGGTTTTTTCCCCTGTTGATGGACATTTAGGTTGTTTTCAATTTTTTGTGCTCAAAACAATTCTGCAATATACGTTGTGCCAAGTACGATTTCTTGCACACGTGCCAAGTATGACACTCAAGTATGGTCTGTGGACTGGGATAAACCCCTGCCTGGCCACGATCGTGTGAGCACAGTTCAGAGTAAACATTTAGAAGCCCTTGCAGTAATTCGATGTTGCTGTGACACCTTTATCATATTTTTAAAAAGGGTTAGTCCACAAGAGATTGAAAACTTGCAAATTCACTGCAGGATAGTTTGAGAAGCTCTGGGGAATGACCTAGGGAAAAAACCCTTGCTCCATTGCAAGGTGTTAAAGCATCTTCCACCTCACAGATGCCACCAAAATGCTCTCCATGGGAACTGCAGCAATTTATATGCTCACCTGCAGCATTCGAGACTCTCTGTTGCTCCACATCCACCTCAACTCTTGGAAATGTCAAACATTTAGACTCGGGGTTTGACCTTCCCATTGCACTCTGGTACTGCTTGAATTTTCACCAAAGGGCTGAAGCTCAGGTACCCACCTTTACTCATCGGTACAACATCATAGGTACTTCTCCCAGCTGCACCAATCAGGTAGTTGAAAGCCATCTCCTTGGCATTGAGGTGGAGGAGCTGGCTGGCCTCTACAAAGCGCCTTGTGATGTCCAGGGGGTTGGCACCTACTAAAGGAATTACCAAAGCAACTCATTTTCCTCCCAGCATGTGGCTAATGCTTCCAGAAAAGGATTGCCATAAGTGGCCCAGGAAATAAGGGTAGAATGGGGATCTACACAGTGTTAAATGTGAGGAGGCTCCCAACAGAAGGGTCTCAAGTTCCAAAACTTGTCAGGTGGCACATTGCTCTGCCCACCTTGCCCTTCTCTCTTCCATACCCACAGATCTGGGTACCAATGCTGTTGGCATTTAAAATAATACAGTATTTAGGTTTGATTACTGATGTGGCTCCAGGTCCTGGACTTGATCTTGGGATGACACCCTCACCATGGATGCACCCCACTTCTCAACTCTCCCTGATTCTGGTTCTATAGGGCTCTGTCCTTCCATCCACCAATCATCCCTCCTGACTGGCAACTCCACATGCTTCCTCCTCCTGGATGCTGCCTCTCTTCGCTCTCCATCATTTCCACAAACTCCACCCTTCAGGACCTCTGACCTCACACTGTTGTCCATTGCCAACCTTCCAGTCTTGGCTCTGCAAAGTTGGGGAGTGGGAAGGAAAACTAGAGAGCAGAGAGGGGTGAAAGGATGATTCTTGGGGTGGTCATGAAAGGAGTCCCAGTTCTACAGCAGACTCATGGCTGCCACTGTTCCTAGTGCCCTATCACCTATGGCACCCGCCCCATCACCTGTTTGGGGCGGGTGCCATAGACACACACCCATGAGTCTGGGCAGACCCTTCCAGGCCCATAAAAAATGGAGAAGAATCTGACCGGCCAGGCTTACCAGACACAGACTCCACCATGGCCTTCATCTTTAGGGTGAGCAACTCTGTCAGCAGATGGATAGATTGCCGCTGGAACTTGTGCAGGATGTCCTGGCCAGACTGCACCCGATGGCCGGGGGTGGGAATCTGGGTAGTGAACTTGGCTGGCCCAGTGGATGCGGTCGGCATCGGTGGGGGTGGAACTGGTGGTGGCAGTGGCTTCTTCTGGATAGGAACCTGCACAGGGGTTGATTCTGCAATCACCACAGGTGGCGTTCCAATGCTGATCTCCAGGCCCAGGATGTCCGACGGGGTAGGCACCATGGGGTCAGTGATGAGCTCCTCCCAAGTGAACTCAAAGATGTTTCTGATGCCCTTAGGGATAGCGATGCTTGCGTTCCGGCACATGATGAGTAGTTTGGAGATTCGGGCCAGCAGTTTGGGGGCCATGGCCGTGTACTGCAGGTACAGTTCTCGGTTACTCTTGATGTCGTTCATGTTGCTGGAGCATGCATACTGTTAGGTAACACTGTCCATCTTGGACCACAGGGACCTTCAGCTGAAGAGTCAGAGCACCCTGAGACGTGAGTGAGAGCGAAAGTTCTCACCTAAGGTGAAGGCTTGGAGACAGAATGGAAGTGCTGAAATGGCCCTTCTAGGTCATCGAGCCAGCAGGTCCTGTCCAGGAAGGATGAGAATTGGTCACTCCCTCCACCACAGGGCAAAGGGGTGACCCTCCCTGCTCTTCTTCCCAGAGGAACCTCAGATAGACCCGCATTAGTGAGTCACTTTGGGGAGGGCCTGGGGATGAGCAGATTCCAGAAAAGCTTCCAGGAACAGTTGCACAACCTGAGTTCCTGTAGAGGGACCACCCCAGGGGCTGGAGGAATGCTAAGGATGGGGAAGGGAGAAAGGTTCCATCGTACCTTTTTGTCGTTAGAGAGCTGAGGGCGGAAGATCTGCTTGTGGTCTATTAATAACAACTTGCAAAAACAAAAAAGTGTTTCATCAGCTTTCTCTGGAGGAAGGTGATGCGCTTCCTGGTTGGGTAAGCTCCTGTTTGCAATGCAAGGGCAGGCATAGAGTTACTCAACAGGTGCATCCCAGGGCAGACAGGAAAAAATGAGGAGAATGAGTTTTCTTAATTCAATGACTGATATCATTTGCCACATTTCACAAAAATCTAAGATTTGATGTGACTGGTGCACTATCCTACAGGGGAAAAATCAGCGTAAGAAGCCACTGACTGTAGGACATACCACAATTTCAGAGATGTTAAAATGAGGGGAAATGTGTACCTTATAACCACTAACCTATAATAGTATTTTCCTACTTTAATAAGACTTCTCAGGGGTTCTGGGTGCTCATCAAGCGGACCTGTGTGGCAGGGAGGTTAGCAGAGAAGTGCGCGCCTGTCTGGGAGAGCTGAACACCATTAGATGCTACTAGGTGGTTTTTACCCTGACATTCTTCTAAATTGTGTTTTATTTTTATCTTCTTACTTTATACCAAAAATAGACCACTAGTTGAAGAGAGAGAGTGTGAAGAACAGTTTGATGAACACAATATGGCTAGGGAAAAAAACCCCTGCAAATAAACTTGCAGGGTGTTTAATCAGATCTGAAAGTTTCATTCACCTGATTAAAACGAACCCCACGAGGACATACCATTGTCCCTGTGTCAATCTAAAATACATTAACAAAAATATAAAGTCACTTCCTGATCTTATACTACACAAAAACGATTTCATTTCTGAGGGGCTCTGTGAGAATGTGAGCCTCTATAAAAGACGCCCAGGAATCCAGAACACATGGAAAGTTGGTCTAAGAGAAGCTGAGGGAGGAAAGGTGCCCCCCACCCCTGATCGCCTTTGCCAGCATTGCCATGCAGGGTCAGGGAGCCGCCCCTGTTGTCGGACTCAGATGGCTCCAGTGAGTGCACTTGCCAGGAACGGTGACCTTCAGAGCAGAGGAAAGGCCACTGGCCGGTGCCTTCTGATGACCTGTGTTACCACAGCCTTCCAACCATCCATTCTACTACCTTCGGCCTGACAGTGACTCCCCACCACGTCCACGGCTGTCTTCTCCCACCAGACAACCTCATTCTTCCACTTTTCAAACCATGTCCTCTGGAGCCACCCCAAGTTCACCATTCCAGGGCCATGCCCCTGCTGCACACCATCCGTTTTTACCGAGCAGGTGCATGTCACAATCTGGTAGGACCAGCCTGGGGCGAGAAGGCCATTATCTCTCTGGTTTTACTGATAAGGAATCAGAGGCTTAAAGACAGAGCTCTTGGTTAGGAGAAGACTGTCTGCAGACTCCTGGCATGGAGGCCTTTCCAAATCCAGCACTCCACCCCCCATGGCCTTTGAGCTGCTTCTGCCCACCTATCAGCAACAAGACTCCAAGGAAAAGGAGCCTGCAGTGCAAGCCCTCCTGACATCCGGCTGACTTGCAGATAAAGTGGCTTCTTATGTCTATTTGCTGACCCCCCAGCATCTATTCCTCAGCTCTGGAGACTCGGAAAAATAGGTTCATTTTTTTTTTTTAAATGATAAGTCCAAAGAACAAAGAAACAACTCAGAATCTCTGTCATCTGGGCAGCCAGCCAGAGGATCTGACCCTGACCATGCAGGGCATTTTTTTTTTAAAGCCAGGACTCAGATGAAGAGAAGACAAATAAAATCCTTGAAATGTTAACTGGTTTGAGGAACTTCTCCCTGCCCCCTACCAGTTCCTTTCCTGTGAGGTTAATTTTAAAGATGTCTTAGAGATAAAAGCTGATTTTTACAACAGCTTTATTGAGATATAATTCACATACCATACAATCCAGTCTTTTAAAAGTATACAATGGCTTTTAGTACAGTCAAAGTTGTGCAACCAATACTGCTATCTAATTTTAGAACATTCTCATCACCCCATAAAGAAACCCATTAGTGGTCACTTTCCATTCCCCCTATCCCCAGGCTACCACTAATCTAGTTTCTGTCTCTATAGATTTGCCTGTTCTGCACATTTCATATAAATGAAATCATATAATATGTGGCCTTTTGTCACAAAAGGCCACATATTATATGTTTTCACTTTCTAGCACATTTTTTGAGGTTTATGTTACAGTGGGTATCAGGATTCCATTTTTAATAGAATAATAATATCCCATTATATGGCTACACCACAATTTGTTGGTTTAGTCATGATGTGATGGACATTTTGGTTATTTCCAGTTTTTCTGTCCTGTGGACAGATGCATTCATTCTCTCAGATATATACCCAGGAGTAAAATTGCTGAGTTTATGGTAACTAAATGCTTAACACTTTGAGGAACTGCCAGACTGGTTTCCAAAGGGGCTGCACTATTTTACAGTTCCAACTTAACATATGAGGTTTCTAATTTCTCCATGTCCTTGTCAACACTTGTTATTATAATGTCTTTTTGATTATAGTGCCATCCTAGAGGATATGAAGTGATATCTCATTGTGGTTTTGATTTGCATTTCCCTAAGGACTAGTGATGCTGAGCATCTTTTCATGTACTATTGGCCACTTATATTTTCTTTGGAAAAAAGTCTATTCAAATCTAAAAGCTGTTTTTTTTTAAAAGAAATATCATTTTAAATTAAATGCACAAGTAGCCTACATTCATTACCATACACTTATCTCTTCAAAATTCAGCTAGAGGTGACCATGTGTTCCTAGTCAGGCCTATGGGATGAAGGTGGATGCTGTCAGGTAGGACACTGAGAAATCTTTTTAAAGGAAGCTGCTTTCATGGAGAGAACCCTTTCTTTACCCACTCCCCTTCTCATTCTTCTGGAATGGACGAGATGGCTGTATCTCCAGCAGCCATTTGGAGCCATGAGGTTACCTTGAGGATGGAAGTCTTGCATCAAAGGGGGCTGAGCAGGGCCAATAGATGCTGGCTCCTGACATTCTCATGGTCCCCCACACCAGCCCTTAGCCTGCTACCTCCAGACTTGTGTCACATGAGAGCACACCCTCACCTCTTTCGGCCACTTTATTCAGACCTCTTTCTGGCAGTCACGTGGTTTATTGACTGACAACTAGCCATGATGGAACATCATCACTCCCTCCTTTCCACTTACCCAATTTTTACAGTCATTCATTCATTTTTCCATCACTGAGATGTGGCCCTTGCCCTCAAGGAGCTCAGTGTTTATCAGAGCAAAGAGTCTTACGTAACGGACATACAACTGTGTAAGGGCCCCACTGAGGTTTGCCGTAAAGGATGAGTAAGACGTTGCCAGACACACAGGAAGAAGGCATTTCTGGTCAAAGGAACTGTATGTACAAAGGAACAGAGACATTTAAAGCATGGTGGGTTCACAGAACTATGAAACACACTAGTAGGGGTGGGATCATGGAGGCCTGTGGGAGAGTAGCAGGTGAAGTCGGAAAAGTGGTCTAGAATTGGATCACAGAGGACCTTGTATGTCATGCTGAAGAATTTACATTTGTTATAAAATCAAATACTCAGTACAAATACTCAAACATACTGCCTCTAATTGCTAGTTGTGTCCCATGCAGTAACTTTCACCTCTTCAGATGAAGGGCAGGGACCATGTCTTCCCTCCTTTTACAGTTTCCACGACACTAAGTACAGCTGTGCCACATGCAAGAAAGTGAAAAGTATTTGGGGCATCAAGGTCCAACAGAGAGCTGGAGAGACCCATGTAAATGGCTAAGCAAGGTTTCAAGACCTAACTCCCACAGAGAAATGAAAAGATTGTGTAAGGAGCCTATAGAGCATAAAAAAGAGGACCACGGGCCCAGCACCACTTTCACTCCACACTTGCCACCTGCGTCCTCTGTCCCAGGGCAGGAACGGGACAGAGGAGGGGAGAGGCGCACGCCAGGTTACGATGACCCGTCAGAGTGCCCTCTGCAAGTCAGAATGGAAGCCCGGAGATAGTAGTGTTACTTGGTGGCTAAGAGCTTGGGCTGTGTGACCTCGAGCCTGGCACTTGACCTGTGTAACGTTCTCACGGGCCCGGTGCAGACACTAGTCTCCCCACCCAGGACCGTGAGGATTAATTGAGCAGACTCATGTAAAGCGTTGGCACAATGCCTAGCACAGGGTTAAGTGTTCAATGAATGTTAAGCAGAAAAAAGGTAATTACTTGAAGTACTTGGAGAAGGCTGCACAATGGAAGTGTCAGAAACTGGTCCAGAAATAGAAGTTGACTAGTGAACTAGAATAGACTAGTGAACAAGGAACGGAAGAGCATTCCAGGCGATGGGAATGACATTGGTTCAGGCTGGAGGATTCAAATAGCCTGGCAAGTTTGGGGAATTGCAAGTAACCAGATGATGCTACAGGTTAGTGTGGATGGGGGAGGGTCCTGTGGAAGGGGTGGGTGGGGCCAGCTGAGAAAAGCTGTGTAAAATGCTGAGTCTGGACTTCATCTCGTAGGCAACAGGAACCCATTGGAGCACTGCAAGCAAAGAAGGCATCTGTCTTTTCAGGCGCTCCTCCCA